TATAATGTACAATGTCAGCTAGTGTTAATAATTTAATTAATGGCAGTTCTGAGTTGTCAGATCTCAAGACATATATTCCAAGACAAATTCCAATATATCATCAGACAAATCTTGTGATATTGAAGCTCATTTTCAACTCCAGAATGCTAAAAGATACTACCATGCATTGCTTTTAATAAAAAAATAATATAGTAACTATAAAGATTATACAGTTGTCATCTTTATTACTTCCTGAGGTGTAACTTCATGTACTGTGGGTGTATATCACAAAATCGTAAGAGTTCCAAGGCAACTCAACTGTCATGATAATGACTATATACCTCATGCTACTATGTTTCAGCCTACAGTATGAAAGTTTTCCAATACTAAAATAAAACTTTGCATGCATATACAAAAATTTATCTAGCTTGAAAGTTCGATAATTTTATACAACAATCATGCTATGTGAAATGACATACAATGTTATAAAGACTTATATTCAGATATCTGGTTATAGATTACAAACAATTGTATATAGTAAAATAAATGTAGAAATAAAAATAAGGTTATGAAGCCGTCTTGAATAATAGCGCATCAATAAAAATATTAACAGTAAATTGTAGTTATGGTTTCAAATCTCTTGACTTTCTTTGCCGGGGACGAATATTCGATCAGATCTGATAAATAAATATTAAATACATAGTCAGCATATAAATCCAATGCAATAGAATCCCAGCATAGAATTTCTGACCAAAATCACCATTTAACGACAGTTAAAACCCAAGTATAAACAAAACATTTACCTGAATATAAAAGATATCGTAGCAGACAACAGCACATGTCGATTTGATCACAGCGTGCTGCACTGAATATCGCACAAACGCACTTTTAGGGCAGCTTTGTTGGCGTAATATTCTTTCCGTGTTCTCTTGTTGTTTTATGTTTCAATAATTTACTAATAGGTGGATTTGGTTTCATAAAAGTCGCAAATTTGTTGAAACCTTTTCGAATTCTATATAAATATTTTACATTCACTCCTCATCACCTCATGTGGAATATAAACATCGCGCGTGTATATCGCCAATTATGGGACTGGAAACGAGAGGTTCATTTCCGGTGGAGTCCCCTGTAAACAAACGCCGGACACATGCGCAGAAGGGACTTATCCCCCTCTTTAACTCTTTCTCAGCCGGTCCCTATAAACGTAGATTGTGCACGATCTATGGCACGGTCTATGACTTCGCCGATTCATATCTTCGGTTTGGTGCATGCTATGTAGATGAAAATACCACCATTCGATTCAGTGAAACAATATCTCCTAATTCCTGTCGATAGTTTTATTTAAATATAGTTTTAGTGAAATTGTATAACTATTTATGACCTTTTGAGAGGTCATGCGGTGTCATATTTCATTATATTAATCAATTGTCTCGAAAAATGTAAACTATCCATACCTTTCGCCGAACATAACTTTGGCCCCTTTGAAGATATCGTTTTCGCTATAGTCTTATTCGAACCAGAATCTAAAACACTATTTAAAGTGTTATTTTCAAGCTTGTAGGATTAGTCTTTCGTCTTTTATTTCGGTATTTCAATCTGTTGTGATACTAGTGAAGTCAGCGGGATATTTTCGACCGGAAATACACTTTAGATCTGCAAAAACATCGCGTGTTTACATCCTAGCGCTCGGAAAACGTCGGCAATCGATTCTATAGGTCAAATTACATCTGCAGCATGATTTTCACATGCATTGGGCTACGGGTTACTCCTTATTGGCCAATTTTACGTGCAGCACGCGCGTGTGAGTAAAAAACCCGATGAAACCCGATATTTTGAAAAATTCAAAATAAACATTTCTACTCGCCGTATTCAAACGAAACTTTCTACATAAAAGCACTTGAATACAAGGAATATTTCACTCATATTAACTTGTGGCGAATTCTGAAGAGTTTAGATGCCTTTAGAAGATATTCAACTTTTTCTCCATATGAAAATACAGAATGTTTGGCCAAGCGGTGAGTAAATATACGATTGTTTCGGTTTGTGTATTTGTTTTGGCGGCATTGAACCCCCCGATGAAAAGGTTATTTTGTTAGGATTTCAATGGTGTTCTTTGTTTTAAAGGGGGGTGAATACGCGCTGAAATATTTACGTTATAAAACAATTGAATCAAAATGTCGCTTGTCGTGAAAAATGTAGCCGGCTGAGAAAGAGTTAAGGTGGTGTTAAAACAGCATATTTGCTTTATGCATAAGCACTGTATTTTACAATATTAAAAAGCAAATACTGTGTGTGTTGACATACTTCAAGTATTAATTATGCCTTACTGGTTATTCTGAATTTGCATTTTCATTCACCTGGTAATTTTTTTTAATAAAAACACTGATGGATTGTGCACTAGCAATTGTAATTATGCTTTAGCTTTACCGGATAAAGGTGTATCACCACAAGTTTCATATTCTGCCTCTGTCAAGTTTACATACTGTATAAATGTATAGTTAAAATCTTATAAATAAGGTGCTCATGCGATATCAAGGCAGAGAAGAATAGTAAGAAAAGACAAACTTTGTTTATGATGCTTGTGATGTTACTCTGAGTGTATATCCACACTGGGCAGGCTTGAAAAATGTGCCTGGCCATGGTGAGAATTGAACCTACGACCTTTTGAATAATAGGCCAGTGCTCTACCAACTGAGCTATGCGGTCAGGTCGGTTCGAGTGTGCTATATTTTGGAACTGAGTCTATGTAGTTCTTTCGATATCAGTGTAATCTAATAGTCATATTTTTTTTGTGTTGGCCGTGTAATGCGAATAAGATGCTTGTGATGTTACAAAAGTACCCAGTCCTTATTGCAACATTTTGGTCCAATTTTCACATTTAAAACAGCAATAACTCAAATAGTATTTGAAAAATCAAAAAACTGTTAAAAGTCTTATATGCGGTTTTTTGTACGTTTTCCAATGATACAAGTCATTTTTATTGTAATTGAATACAGAATTTCCCTTTTTTTGCTGTAATACAATTTAATAGAGGATAATCATTGATCACCAATTTTCTTGGGATTGGGCAACTTTTTTGCTTGGGAACTTTTTTTGGTAGTGATGTACCTATATGCCATTCAAATAAACCCCAAACCAAGTATTTTCCACATGGGTGCCACAAAGCGAAATAATTTTGGCCAACAGCCCACGGCCTATTTAACATTGATACGGCAACTTTTGTGGTGATTGGCTTGTCTGAATGTATTACTGAAGCGAATAACTTTCTGAACTCAGGCATTTCGTTCTCAGTAAACAGGCGATCTTGCCCACCTCTGGAATGTGACGATGGAGGAACTACACCAGATGATGATGATGAGTCCTGGCTGCCTTCCTCTTCGTCATCTTCACTGCTTTTTTCGTTGTTGCCGTCGTTCGCCGGATTCTCTTCCCTATCTTTGCTGCCTTTCTCTTCGCAAGCTAAATTTTAAGAAATATCAACTCAAGTCATTATTATATCATTTTATTTACTAATTTTCTGCACATGAAGAACAATTTATTGCAATACAATGTGATCATCAAATTATTTTTTCTTTGATTATTTACACTGTGGTACAAAATACAAATTGAACAAAGTCAGAAAAAATTACTTTGATGTCACATCATACTGTTGCCAAATATTCCTAAAATCAATTATTCACACATTCTCGTTCCCCGAGCATGCCCGTTTGGAGGTTAAGGGTGGCCCTTAATCTGCGAACGGGCATGCTCGGGGAACGAGATTGTGATTCACGGCAAACAAGCAGCAACTGTCTGTTGCACCATTAGTTCATCATACTGTTCCATGTCCATCAATAAATTGCCTTGGAATACAGAACAATTTAATAGATCAATTTCTTTGCCAAATTTTAATCCATTTTTGGCAGGCATATAAAGGTCTAAAATTATGTTTTAACCCATTGACAGGGGTGCAGGCTGCAACAAGCTGCTTTATATAATTTATCGAGCGGTGAGTACCAGTCTACGTACGTGTACATACACAACTTGCTGTACATGGAACATCGAAGTTCCCGTCACAGAGTCTATAAAAAAGGTAATTGAACTTCAGTGCGCATTGTATCTGAATTACTCTGTGTATGAACCAGATTTTTTCATATTCCCAAAGATCAGGCTTTTGAAATGATATGTTCTTCATGGTAAATGGATAAAAAATGAGCAAATACTGTACGAATCAGATAAAAAATGTTAGTCAGAATCGCATATTTTCACCATTCAGAGTTAGTCTAAAACCATTGAAAATTAACCCTCTTTGATGAATCTTAACGTTGATGAACTTCACTTTAATAAACTATGCACATACTGTTCAGTACAGTATTAATAATTATTATTAAGTAGGAACAAATCTTAGGTAAGCTATGACAAGTTCATTTGATTGATTACTTTTTCTGTTGTTATGTACTGTTTTAATTAGCCACAGAGGTGAAAATATGCGATTGTGGCAAACATTTATTATCGGACTCAAAGTCAGGGCCGTAGCTAGAACGACAATTGCAGTGGCAATCATATATCCTGTTTTTATGGTGTGTGAACATGAATATATGAATATACACCCCCACCCAATTATCGCGTCTAGCTACGGCATTGCTCGTACATGTACAAGTTTCCTTATTTTGTTCTCCAATTGGCATGTCATTCAAAAGCTAAAACCTGATCTTTCCAAATACGAAAAACATCAACCTCGTTCCCAGGCTCTTTGCTCTTGGGAAGCAAAGACCCTGGCTGTGGCTGGTCACGTGGCACACAGATTCTGCATGCTAAAATAAAATGTGTTTATGGGTAGGGTGGTAGAGGAGTGTGTTTGTCATGTTTGGAAAATTGAATAAAATTTCAGAATTATGGTAGCGTATTCATTCAAAAAAAGTCTTAAAATAACATTACAATTTAATTGCATCCTATCTTCAAACATTAAATTCAGTGTCAAATTACATTTCGAGCATGGAGTTCATATCAAATTTCAAAAGCACATTCATTCAATCGCGTCGATGGCTAGCAAAGGCATGCCAAAAAAGCTGTACAAGAAACGATCTGAATTGACGGTCAATATTTCACGTTGCAGACTTTGTAATTGTGTTTGTGACCCTCGGCACAGTAAGAATTTATTTGGGAAGCAGAATCAGACAGTTTTATGCAACGCAAAGTTTATTTACGGTGGCAAGTTACCGCAAGATATCAACCTTCCTCACTTAATTAATATGTGCGCCATGTGAGCGGAGGCTAAACAAGCCATCCAGTTGAAAAACACCATTTCAGAAACCCAGTGAGTGTTACAAGAAACTATTCGCACAAAACGTTGTGTAGAAATATCGCCGTCAGTGTCTAGACCGTCTGCCAAAGTCCGTGCGGCGGGGACTTCATGTCGACGCGGTATCGATTTCAACATTGCTAGTGGAAGTCAATCTGAGAGTGTTAATCCTACACCGTTAGCGTTGCATGTAAGTATATTTTGATTCTGTGTTTAATTTTAGTAAATTCTTGATGTTTTATATTTCCTTGTGGAATATTTAGGGCCTTGATTTAGCGCTGTCTATATTTACTGTATATCATGAATGATTCATTCATGCATATGAGCATATCTAATGTCAACAATGGTTTCATTCATGATTTTGTGTATAAAAGCTTATAAAATGTTCTGAAGTGGTAGTTATAGTATTGAAAATGTGGACAGTTTATACTAATACCTATATGTATCTTTCTATTGTCATTCAAAGAGTGGTCAAGTCTTAGTTGGGGCAAACAAGGAGCTCATTGAGGTTGCCAGAAGAAGTGAGCCATCTGTTCTCAGACAAAGAGACTTTGATGGTATGTCAGCTGAGGCTTGGATGTCAGAAGTGTTGGCGGAATTGGCAACCAGATGTCCCATGGTGAACAACATCCTTTCTAGTCTGGTAGAAAGTACGATTTATCCAGAGAAGAAAAGTCCAGCCATCTGTTTAATTTATGGCATCATAATGTTCCTGCGGTGCCATGAATTAAGCAGAATTCAACGAATCAACTCTGTTTTGCTGATAGAAGGCCATGTATCTGTACATGTAAGTCATTCTGAAATTTAAATCACAATACTTGTCAGTGTGGAAAGTTTGCATTGCGTGGCAAAGATATCCGCCACACAATATTGATGCTCTCTATTAAACTTTTCAAAATATGTGGAGCAGAATTCCCAGTTGCCAGAAAGCCTATTCACAATGCAATTGAATATGTTTACATCAATTGTTTGTTAGACCCTGAAATACTGGTATTTAAAACAACATAATTAATTATATTTTCTTAAAAATAATTTAACAAAAAGTAACATCATATGATTTTGATACTTTTATTTGCATAATGCCTGTAAAATCTCAACGTTTAACCCATTAAGCTGTATAGCTACTCATTGACGGGTAAAATCGTCTGACGTTAGACAAGTAAAAAAAATAAGTGGGGTGCATTGCGGCTCAATGGGTTACTTCGGGCCCGCAGTAATTGGCTATTCGCTGTTGTGGTCACCCAGCCGTGGTCATGTACCCACTATATTTCATTATGTACGTTTGTTTTTGTCCTGTCAGTAATGTACTGTTTCATCGGCAAAGTTTATAAATTTTAAAAAAAAATTAAATTAAACATCAGTCAGATTTTTTGGTTAACCCATTAAGCTGCAGAGCTTCCCCATTGAAGAGTAAAATAATCTGGCGTTAATTAAACAAGTAAAGAAAAATAAGTAAGGCGCAATGGGGTGCATTGTTAAAAATATATTCGCAAACCAGCATAATTTATGTTGATCAATGTCTATGCAACACAGCAATCACACCTGTAGTGCAATAAATTTTACAATTGAAAAACTGATTTTTTTCAAAATTATTGATAAACCTGGTATTATTTGGTTACTGTATGCCATATTATATTCTGTACTGATTTTAGTATTTAACTTTCACTACATTAAATTAAGTTAGTAATATTCCATAGTGTTATAACACAATTTATGACACACCAAATCCTGGTACAATTTGATAAACCGTTGATTACTGTGCTTAACTCTGCTCTGGTATTTAAAAACAAAGCAGATTAGAAATATGGTAAATTATCGGGAAGCCTTGCAGTGCCTTGGAAGGCCGTCTCCAATTGGATGGGGGTTTTCTAAAGAACGAAGCAATTCATTGTTATAAACACAAAAGCAATTGTCAAGTCGAGCCAATGAAAATCACTCTTCCGAGCCACTGCGAGGCTACCCGGGGGGAAAATTATGTACCAGAAACAGCAAGGAGCAGGGTCTTAGCTAGAAGACTGTGTTGGTCGTGTTAGCATGGCCAAAAATGGAAGAACACGGCAAGATAAATTGCTAAAGCTTTATTATTTATGTGAAGACGTGCAGGTTCATAAAATAGACAGCCTTTTCTCCTATTTATGTTGTAAGAAAGTTTGTAAAATCTAGTTTGTTGAATTTGGCAAAAGTGATGTCCCTGATGTTTTTAGATGTACAGTATATACTTTAGGTAATGGGAACACTATGGTGTTAATGGCTTTCAATGCCCCAAGGCCAAGACTAGCTAAAAAACTGACTGTAATATCAGTCCGAAATATAAGTGTATCATTGCCTTGACCACAGGCATAGTCTATGTATTGTTGGCGAGCATAACTGGAACCATGCATTTGGTTATTCTGGATAATTTGGGACGTATACTGTATACACATTCAGGAATTATAGAAACACTCCCAAAATCTAAAATCCTAGCTAAGACCCTGAGTAGGAGACAATGAATCTGTAAAAAATTGGTATGCTGCGAAAATAATATGCACTTTAATTTTGTCGAATTAATTGGTAGTCACTGTTTCAAATTGGTGGAAAGCGTGAAATTATAATCGAGTTATCTTTTGGCTCTAAAACCATAGTTTATAGTAAGCAAAAAGTAGATGTATAAGTAAACTGTAAAATGGCATCCTTTATCACTTTCATTACAATGTTGAGTATAATAAAAGTTACTTATCACAAAGTAAAGTGCAGCCTCAGGCCAGTTACTGATCAAAACTTGTCTGGTGTATGTGCATGTTCCACTGGGGAAGAGCCTGGGAACGAGGTTGGTTACTGATGAGTTGTTTGTGTTACGAGACTCAACTAAGTTTTTGAGCCTTAATTTTGGGAGCACAGTTAGGGACAAAATGGGATACTCATCTTATCTATTATATTAATTATTTCAGTTGATTGCTTGCTTGAATAAATATGGTATGTGCCTTGAACCGAATATGAAATACCCAATTCTTGATGACATTGGCCAGCAGTTTATTGACCGTGCTGCAGAGTTGGTGAAGTCTGGCCATACGTTTGTGTATGTGCTGGACAATATTGATTGGGAGGAAAAGGCACATGATATGAGGCAGGACGTGCAAAACAGAAGTGTTCATGCTGTGGCAACAAGTATTGTATTTAACCGTGTTTCTGATGAAGGGTTGCCCGATTCTGGTCCACAGCAAGATCTGAAGGATTGCAATGTCCATCAGTTGATGGGTATCAATCCACTGGAATTGGATGCAATTCGAAGCCGGTATAGAATACTTGTTGCCAAGCTTTTGTTTGAACATTTCCCGTGTTTTGCAATGTTCCAACCGTACGTCTCTGGGAACACTGATTGTGCTTATGCAGAAGAAATGGCAAGAAAATCGGAAGTTATGACAATGCCTGTCGTAATGAAAGACGAAAAGAAATATGCCGACGTTGTGGAAGTTCTTGACCAGCTTGAAAAGTGGACACATGAGATTTATACAGCTGCTGGGATGTGTTCATCAGATCCTGAATCTAGTGATGACACCAACCCCACTGTTAGAACCACATCAAGACCAGACCAACCTGGCTCGCATGTCCCACCTTCTGCTTCTGAAAGTGATCCATTACGTGGGGTTAAAATACCTTGTTATGGTGATCAACTCACTCGAGTTCGGTTTGCTGGAGGACGAGATCTCAGAGCTGGGTGTCATTCAGCGAAGATTGGACCACCTATATCCATTTTGTATTGTTGATTGGCATAGCAAGAGGAGTTTCTTGAAGGTATTGTATAAACACATTTGTGTTTTTCTGTGTCCAATTATATTTCTTAAATTGAAGTCAAGTCTTCTGGTGTTGTACCACTATGCAACTTTTCTCAAGGTGCAACACAAGTTGCATGCGGAATTACATAGTGTAACTAATTGTCTCACAATCATCAAGTGTACCTGTCACGTTCTAGGGGAAGTTACTATTTTTAGACTCTTGTAATTTTGTATTCTTTTGTATACTGTGCTCAACTTCTTCCTCTAATCAAAAGTCTAAAAATAGTAACTTCCCCTAAAACGTGATTCATATGGGCGGGGTTTGCCATCAGGAAAAAATACAAGGGGGGGGGGCATATGAAAATATGTTCACAAATTAGGGGGTCGTAAAAAAATATTCAGCTACTAGGAAAGAATGGATATGAAGGGTGGGCCATGCCAAAGTTTTGGTGCAGCACAATAAATGTAACACACCTCCTTGCCTGAATTGAACTGTCCCTTGGTATTGTTACCATTTGCAATAATAGTTATTCTAATGATTTTTTAATTTGTTTAGACTGTATTCAAAAAACTTTATAAGAACTCAGGACGAGAAAAAGGAACCCTACGCTTTTTCAGAGAAAAGCTGAATAGAAGAAACGTCACAGCTGATGTCAAACACTATGAGGACTGTGAGCAACTGTTCTTCAGTGTTGGTAAGTGTTTTGTTATCGAAGCTCTGCTTGAATTTTTCCAGATGGATGATACAAAACACAAACCAACAGCGAATGGTCCTCATAGTGTTCATGTCTTGAAAGAGGACTACCGGAAAACCTACATGTTGGAAGTTATCGACAAATTCCTTGACGAGTATGTTTTTGTTGGTGGAGATGAGGTGTCAGATGGTGTTTGGTGCTATGGAGCCAACCTCATTAAGTATTTCATGGTGCTGGCTGACTTTAAGGATGCTGTTTCCACTGGCAATGGTGAGCACTTATTGATCCTCAGGAAACAGCTGGTTAGCCCATTTCTTTTCAACACCCGGATTCAATGAGTTTGCCATTGAAATGTTTATAAATATCCTCCAGTGTGAAGTGTTGCTGTCCAAAGCAGAGGCCCATCGTTGCAAATGGGCTGCTACTGTGAACTGGAAAGGTGGTTCCGGTAAAAACATTGAAATTGACTTGTTTCAAGAGAACAGGCAGGGGTTTCAGAATGATTTGAAGTAGGTGGTTGTACCAAAAAAGTAGCCGGCTGTGACTGATAGTCTGATAGTTAAAAAATCGCGCGAGGAGGGGAGCGTGCCCTCGCATGGAAATTTTAAAAATTTTCGCCGCAAATTAACAATCAAATAATATAGAATACGTAAAAAGACAAAGTACAACTGTTAGCATGTTAGATTTAGATGTCATTTGCATTTTTACTTGTAAGTGACAATGTACTTTAATGTGCTACTAGTAGTTTAATTTTTACAGCTGCATGAACAGAATGACAATGTACACTACAGTAATAGTATTAATTTATGAGTCCGAAATCATTAATCAAATGATGTTATACTTATGTACGTAATGAACTTCACTTCATCACTTCTTCTTTCTTTTGCTATGTTTGGTACTATGTACAGTATTATAATTTATCTTTTTGATCTTCCAAAGTAAGTGATGTTTTGCTTGAATTCAGGGCTTGAATTATATGGCAATTGCCGTAGAGGGAGAACAAAATGCTGTGGATCATTGCGGCAACGACGGCAATTTTTTGCCGTATAGTATAATTTTTAAACTGTTCACTGTGCATTACTATTTTGATATACTTGAATTCAGATGTTGATCAAATCATCCGTAAATTACTATTTTAGTCTCAGTTTTCTTCGAAAAAAACACTAAAGAAATACGTAAACATATTTCTAGCTTGTCAGCAATCCAAAGTAACAATAAAATTTAATTTTTATTACAGTAATTTGAAAAAATGACGTGGAAATTGACAAAATTGCCGTAGACAGCTGTTACGTTCTACGGCAATTTTTAACGCCATTGCCGTCAATTGATTTCAGGGAAATTCGAGATCAACTTGAATTCCAATTGGAACATAACAAACATCGTGTTGGTTCGCTTGTACTTTTGTATATAAAATTTTTCCTGTGACCAGACGAAAAGTAGCCGGCGGTAAAAGTTCAAGTAGCCGGCGGAACTCCGCCGGCAGCCGGCTTATTCTGAAACCCCTGAACAGAAACTGTGAAATGAAGAAACTAATTAAGTCAATGGGCGCCAACAAGACTGAGAATGCGATCACAAGGGCAAGCAAGGCTTCAGGAGGAGTTACGAAGATTGTCGAAGCACATGAGCAGCAAGTTAACATTCATCCAAAATCTTCAACTCATTCACATAAGTCGTCAACTAATGACGAAAAGGTTATCAGCATGGACTTGCGAGGTTTAAGACCTTTCGAGAAAGAAGAAGGCAGAACTTTTGAATCATTTGCAGAGGTTTCCCATGACCCAACCTCATCGTTCGACCAAGGAAAGTTTGCAGAATGGATTGAACGACACAAGAAGAACATCCTGATGCACTATACTGTTGCTGATGACCAAGAGGAATCTTGTGAGTAATTGTACACTTAGTGTACTAACAATTTCTGACAGGACCAAATGTATGTACTTTTGTTGCTAAAGGGAAAATAATAGAGCAAGAAAATGGCAGCAACTTGCAACAATATCTGATTTCTGCACATGTCAATAAAAAAGGTTGGCTAATGTTGTCCCAGGTGTTGTATTTACAGTATGTGTAAACATTTCCAACTAACATGTGTTGAAATCAGATTTTGTTGTAAGTTGCTGCAATTTGTTGCTCATATTACTCCACATGACCTTAAAGTATATAGATATTTTTGTTTTACCTAGTACTGCCCTAGCCTGTGTTCCAGTCCACTATGTGTTTGCTATTGGACTGGAAAACAGGCTAGTAAAACCATGCCAATTGCTGAAATAGAGTATACAGTTTGGACCATTTGGTTCAAAATTTAAAATTAGCCTTTTGCAGTCACTTTGTTTGGTCCATAGTTTTTCATATTGCTTTTGGAAGAAGAAAGGCAGTGGCTAAAAATGACGGATGTGGAGATTTGAGAAATTTCGCTTGTGAGAAATGCTACTGCATTGTTTCAAAAGATGCCTATTTGGCAATCTAACGTTAGTACTTTCTAACTGCTAACAGTGTAGTTTATATATTAATTGTTTGGACATGCACATACTGATGTACATGTAAGCCAATGTTTGGCTATTTGTCAATTTATATTATTGTACAAGAAATGATTCCAACAAAATGATCAATGTAAAATGTATTTATTGAGCAAAATATTGCTCATTTGAAATTTTCTGACTATTACTATGATAGGATAAGAATAGAATGTACTGTACATACAGTACATTTTCATCAAGTTTTCATGTTGCCACATTAAAGTTATTTTAACTCCTGATAGATCTTTGGCTAGAGTATAATTAAATAACACTGATATTGTTTTGCACCAAGTTGTAATAAGTCTAATGTTTAATTTTTTATTGTCTAATTTTCCTTATTAGAATAGTTTTAACGAAACTAGTGTTTTTATGAGAATATTGTCTAACATTAAGGTCACATAAAAAATTACTTGTTTAACATCCACCCATTTCAATTTTCCAGGTTGGGCGGGAGGGTTTTTCTAATTTTGCCTACAAACTCTACTTAAGGGTGTTTCAGAAACACAATCCTGGATATTCAGCACACCACCACAGTCATAACTTTAATATTAATTAATACTGCCTTTAAAACAGAAAAAATACAACATATGGGACATAAGGGTCATGCCCAACACCTTAACTGCGAACAGGTACTCTGGAAACGAAATTGAGTTTG